ATTAATAAATCCTTTTGTATGGAAGCTTACTTAAGAGGAAAAAAATAAGCAGGATATCTTATCCAATATTGAAGGGGATATTTAGATAATAATCGTTTGATAGGTAATACACTAGTCTACCAATCACATAGTTGCATGGTAGAAGTTAGACAATGATGAGTAATCTCAGGCAGCCTTTATGGCCTGAGGCGTGAATCCTTCATCTTCACTGAAAGCGATCGGTCTAACAAAAAAACGGATAGCTAAACTTCAATCAACGAACAGAACTGTAAAATATTCCAATTTCGAAGATTCACTTAAATGCTTGGTTCGTGGCGGACATAATGTATGGCCAGGGGGGAGTAAGGCAAGGTGTACAGGCCTATAAGATGGCTTATGGGAATAAGCCAAGGCACACATAGGCATATCACACCTATGTACATACAGGACTACGGACATCATAAAGGAGTAGGCGCTACTTAAGTGCCGCCTAATTATGTTAAACGAATGGAGTATCTGATCAGTACCAAAAGGAGGCTTCTTAAACAAGAAATAATGATAAAAACATTTAAGGAAATTTTATAAGGCCTTTTTCTGATAGAGGAATATTAAGTGGCATTATTAAGCGAGTAGGTTGAGTAAGAGCTGTAATTCAATCTAGGCCATCAATTGATTCTGTTAGGATGCGAAGGTAGGAAAAAGGTCACAAAATATTGCTGTAAAAAGCTAAAAGTGAAATATGAAGAAAGCAAGACCTAAAGGATGAAGTTTTGGAGGTATGTTAAATAAGTAAAACAACTAATAGATTTCAGATCTCATAAAAAGGGTAGGGGTAGAAAATATTAGGAAGACTATTACATAAATGGTACCGGCTGTTTGGCTAGTGAATGGATGGAGGGGTATCTAAGAAGGAATGGAATGAGAAGGACAAAAAGAGAAGAGGAAAAATGAATGGAAATGGAGAGAAACAAAATTCCGTGATAAATTATAATTGCTACTGCTGCTTGTAAAGAACGACGGGTACTTTGTGCATTGCGCGCTTGCACAGCTCATTAATATGGACCTTGAATTGTTCCACGCACTTTTCGCAGACCCCCACAGGGCCAGGGACATTGACAGTAGTTGCCCGCGTCGCCTCAGAAGAGGTATTCTGGGAAGCGGGATTGCTAATGGAGGACGGAAGTGGTCTCAACTCCAAAACGCCTGACATAGACGAAATGGGCTGGATACTAGCGGCCACATTCATGCGATGGGGTAGGCCAGCAGCATCGACAACTTCATTGATTTCGATTCCGGGAGCTGTGACAGCAGAAGTACCATTGTTAAGGGAGGACCTCATCCCTGTGATTTGTGCTGAACCAAAATATGGCTCCTGCGAGCCACTGGATAATGGTCTTCCAGTAATTGGGAGCCCTGGAGGAGCTGGTCCATGAGGCACCAGAGCGGACAGCCCTCCAGCGGCAGAGGAGACGACTAGCAACGGCTGAGGTGAGGATTGTGGAGACACAACAGACAGAGGGCGCGAATGTTCAGAGCAGTGATTGGCTGGGACGCGCTCAAGCCGGCTTTCCATGCGAACACAAGAGTGTGTGAAGCTGCGCTGAATTTCGTTTAAACACTTCTCAAGCAGCATGATACGCCGACTAGATGATTTGGAAAGTGTGGAATTCATTACAATATATGGATTTGCTCACAATTAATTTGTTACTACCTTAAACTGGAAATGCAATTGGAACTATAATTCGTAGAAGAAAAGATTGAAAGGTTTATTTTGAGGAATCCACTATGATCAAATTAATGCGTATTCGGCCCATTTCTCGTGGGTCAGTTTAACTATAAGACTAGAACTTTTTCATACGACCACATCTGTAAACGCATTTGATTCTCATTGTGCACATAACAATCGTTGGCAAACCGCAATTCGACTAGAACTAATGAGTACTTAGTTTCAGTTTGTGCTAGTTTGAAATAAGTCAATAATTGTATCTCACTTCAAGCATGTTGATTAAACAGCCGAAGAAAGACGAGACCTATTTGCCGGATATGGAGGACGGTGCACTGATTAATATGTGTACTGATAGGACAGCCTATATACAAATATCCAACCATCTCCCGGTAAAAGTATTTCACAAATGATGAAGAGTGGATGAGGCAGAGACTACTCAAAAGGCAGTTTGTAAAAAAATCCGATGCGTGACCTGAGTTTCAGGAATGGATGGGCCTCTAAAAACAAGAAATCAAACGGCAAATGGCAAGCCAAGTGAATCTTCAATAGCGATAGAGTGCTACTCATTTAATAAATATGCAACGTTTCCTAATTTAAAGCTTGCAAGTTTTAGATTTGTTGCCATATCTATTGCAACAAGCAACGAGTCTTATTAAAACATATGCTACGATCGTACAGCCGAATAAGAGTTCGATCCTGGGTGCTGAACTTCAAAGAATAAGAGAAAAGGTGGTTTCGAGCCCAATGAATACACGTGATCTCAGGTTGCAGCAAATTTCCAAGCCACTTGCATCTATAAGTCTGAATGATATAGTTTCTTAAGTCAAAATGAATGCATGAAAAAAAAGAGCCATACAAAGCGAATCACTAATAAAATCGACAAGGAAGTATTATACATTAATAAAATCCACTCAATAAATAAAAAATATAAATTAGCTTTTAAAACTTTAAAAGCTAATTTCATAAGATGGCATTTAATTACAATGTAAAGTAGATACAATTTTCATTGATAAATGCTGAATATAATTTTCTAACTAGACATACTCAAGGATTTCAACTCTCAAATCCGTCGGCATTTTCACTTCATCCAACAGCTGCTTTAGGCGTACGGCGTCAAGACGGGCGCAGGAGTCTATAGCAGTTTGTCGAAGCCGCTTGAGAC